TGCACAGATTTCCCGATACTGTGTAAGTGAGTGATAGAACTGTAGTTTTGGGCAACATTCTTCAGAAACGCTTCCATCTCTGGCTGGTGGTGGTAGCTGAAGTCCAGGGCAGCTGCCGCAGGCATCAGCAGCCCTAGCCAGAGGCGGGCACAGTCCATGTTCTAGAGTTGAATAAAAATAATAAAGCTGAGCAGAAAAGGAAGGCGGTGGGGTGGACGGAAAATGTGAATGTTACTAGCTTCCGCTCTGCTCTTTAGTATCAGATCTCCCGACACTAAAGCTCTTTGCTTCCGAAAGAGGTAAAAGTTGGAAGCAACACCTTCGGGAGTTAGCGCACCCAGAGCACCGGCAGCCCCAGGTGCCCACCATCCCGTAGCCCACCCAGCCCCTCCGCACGTCCCCACCGCCCTCCATCTATCGTCAGTCGCAGCAGCTGCGCCTGACCCCACGCATCCCAAGCCTCACCCCTGCCCAGGCGCACACCGCCGCCTGGCTGCAGCCGCCTGCCGAGACCAGACATTATAGCTGGGCCAGGGGGCGGGCGAGCTCAGGTCCCGCCCTTGACATCTGACTGACGTCGCTTTGGCCCACTCAGACACCGCGCGAGGCACTCCGGGGCGGGGTCTAGCCGGGCGACCCGGGCACCTCTGCCTGCTTCTCACCTGAGCCCGCCGGCGCCCACGCGGCGCGAGGGTTCCAGGGCGCGGCGGCTTGTGCCGAGGCGTGGTTGAGAGCTTCCCGAAACCGAGTTACGTTGCGCGGTCTTAGTTTTTGCCGGCGCCCTAGGTTGGAAGTATCTTCACCTCGGCCACGGCTCCGTCTGATGTAGGGGTCCCCCGCGCTCCGCCCAACAGCTGCAGCAAGGGCTGGGACGGCTTCTCGCGTTGGGCTGTGCGGGCCGGCAAGCCCGGGGCGCACCTGGAGCCCCACGATGCGCCGTGAGTCCCGGGCGGCCGCAGCTGCAGGCGGGCACTTACGCTCTTCGATTCGCCAGGGCCGGGCTCTCAGACGCTCCAGGCGCCCTCAGCCCTGTGGTCTCGTGGAGTTTCAGAACGTGTGTTCCGAAGTTTTAAATGGATCTTGTGGAGTCCAGGAAAATTTCCGACAAATATTTATAGTGTATGAAAGAAAGAGAAAGTCTCTCAGTCGTGTGCGACTCTTTGCTACCCCATGGACTATATAGTCCGTGGAATTCTCCTAGCCAGAGTAAAGGAGTGTGTAGCCGTTGCCGTCTCCAAGCGCTTTTCCCAACCCAGAGATCGAACCTTAGGTCTCCCTCCCTGCGGGCAGATTCTTTACCAGCTGAGCCACCAGGGAAATTTGACTAAATCAAAGTTAAATTGAACACTGACAAATTGGAAATCATGTGTAAGAAGGCATCAGAGTCATCATTGTAATGTCGACTGTCCCTCCTCCAACGCTGCTCAGGTCGGTTTCAGGGCCTAAAGTGCTTCTTTCTGAAAGGATGGAATGGTCTGTGTTTGCACTAGGGTCAGCAAGGACTTGACCAAAACCCGAGGGCGTGTGGGGAGGGCGAACACCTCACACACCTGTTATACATCAGCGTCAGGGTGACAGGGGACTTCTGCCAAGGGTCCAGCAAGTGTAAAACGTTTGAAAAGCACTGATTTAGGATAACATTCTCCTTTAACGGACCAAAAACAGTAGTGCCAGGGCACTACCTCAGACGAATTAAACAGAATTTCCGAGGCCTGGGAATGTGAATGCAATGTGCCTTCCAGAGTTGAAAATTGCTAGTCACTCTTCTTTGTGATAGATATATTAAGCATTTAGGAACCTTCCCAGGAGGCAGAGAGGTTTAAGAGTATCATGATCTGGGTTTCCGTCCTTGTTCTGACACTCATTGGTTGTGTCAACTCATTGTACTTTAGTTTCCTAGTCTGTAAGATGGAAATGGTAATTGTACTTACCTAAATAACTGGGAGATGTCTATTAAGCAAATAACCTAGTTTAATTAATAAATCTTTAAGCAAAATTTCTAAGAGTTGGAAAATCTTATGATGATGATGTTGAGTTGCTGAGTGGACTCAAAAAAAAGTATGAGCAGTTACTCTTCTGTTATTTCTACTGTGTGACTTTAAGATGTTCTTTGTCATTCATTCGTCAGAGGCCTGAAAGGAGGTGGAATAGGGTTGAGGAGATTAAATTTAGGCAAAATTACTGTAAAGAATGGGAAAGGGAACTGTCAAGGAATAAAGTGAAGGATTTCTGATCTGATGTTAAAAATCATATATTTGTTACAGAAGCAAGTGGCAGTTATGTGCTTTCTTTTAGTGGTGATGTGGCTGGAGACTGGGGAAGATATGGCTTGGTCCATACTGGGATGGAGATTGTCAGGGTTCTTATTCCAGATAAACAAAGGAGTGAAGTATAGTTGAAATTGCTGTGCTTGGGGTTCATAGTAGGTAGGAAGAGAAGCAAATTCAGGAGAAAGCCAATCAGATAAAGGAGGTAGGGAGAATAGGGGTTTGAGGGCTGAAGGTCCAGAACTTCGCCAAAGTGTGGTCCAGACAACACTGACATCACCCGGGAGTTTGCTGGAAATGCAGAATCCTTTGTTTCACTCCAAACCTACTGAATCAGAAGATACATTTTAATAAGATTTCCAGATGATCCCTATGTACATTCAAATTTTATTTGCAGTGGTCTACAGGTCAAAAAGGCTTAGTGTTAGAGTGTGAAAGATATGGAGGTATATAAGGTTGGCATAAAAGACTAAAACACTACAGTTAGGACTTCAGAGGTGATCTTTCTAAGCACAACACCACTATAGGTAAAACCATAATAAGGCAGATAATTTAACACCATAAAAATGTATACATTTTATTCAGGAAATCTCAAAGGTTACCAAAAAAATTGCAAACTGGAAGAGTTAATAGCCCTTACAAAATCAAGAATGGGCAAGGACATTAATAGGCAGTTCACCAAAGCAGTAATACAAATGGTCAATAAACATAGTAAAAGCTACTAACCTGCTTAGTAATCAAAGAATTGCACATTAGAAGGGCAAAGTAATACTTTGCCTTGCTTATCACCAAGAAAGATTAAAAAATTGATAGTACCTAGAAATGGACAGGATCTGGGAAAATGACATTCCTGCTATTTTAATGGTATTATAAATTGCTACAATATTTCTGGGAGGAAATCTGGGGAATGGACATCAAAATTTAAATTACGCTCTTCCTTGATAAAAACAAGCTATAGAAGTAGTTTGGAGAAGTGCCAAGCTTATATGTTAGGATATTTATAAGCACCACTGTTTTTTAACTTTTTACTTTGTATTGGGGTATAGCCGATTGACAATGTTGTGATAATTTCACAAGGAAGGGACTCACCCATACATATGCATGTATCCATTCTCCCCAAACTCCCGTCCCATCCAGGCTGCTGTGTAACATCCAGCCGAGTTCCGTGAAAGCATCTGTTTCCATTTGTGACAAAGTCAATAAACAAACAACAGCATGTTGATTATATCAGTGGTTCTCAACAGGAGGGTTAATACTGGTCACAGGTGACATTTGGGAATAGGTGTGAGATATTTTTGATTGATTTGGGCTGGGGGAGGAGGACAGTTCTATTGGCATCTAGTGGGTGGAGGGCAGGAATGCTGCTAAACATTCTTCAGTGACAACACAGCCTCCCACAGCAAAGGGTTTACCAGCCCAAATTCAGGTGTTGAGATTGAGACATCTTGGGTTAGATGAAGAATATTAGAGCCTTCAGTTCAGTTCAGTCGCTCAGTCCTGTCCAGCTCTTTGTGACCCCATGGACTGCAGCACGCCAGGCTTCCCTGTCCGTCACCAACTCCCGGAGCTTGCTCAAATTCATGTCCATCGAGTCAGTGATGCCATCCAACCATCTCATCCTCTGTCGTCCCCTTCTCCTCCTGCCTTCAATCTTGCTCATCAACAGGGTCTTTTCCAGTGAGTCAGTTCTTCACGTGAGGTGGCCAAAATATTGTAGTTTCAGCTTCAGCATCAGTCCTTCCAATGTCAGGACTGATTTCCTTTAGGATGGACTGGTTTGATCTCCTTGAAGCCTTACAATAAATTATTTTTCAGTCATATTAATGATGATGTGGGTCTGCATTTATTGGTTTGGAAAGATAAGTCATTGAGTGGCAAAAAGCAGATTGTAAAAGTAAATGGTCAATTCTCACTTTGGAAAGCAAACAAACAAACAAAACCTTTCCTAGCAAATGTTTAAAGGGTTACAAACTGTGGAGTGGTAAGCTTTGAGTTGCAAGGTTCTGATTTTTCTTTTAAAATCTTTCTGTGTTTTCTGAAAACAATTTGCAGTTACACATGTGTTACTTCTTTTCATCAGAAAAACAATGAAGGCATTTTCACCTGAAAGAGCAAAAAGCACAGACGTGTCAGAGATAAACAATTCTCAATGAAGGCAAGATCTAAAATTTCTTTGGAGTGAATCACAGAAGCGAAGAAAGACATTGGAAATGGGATATTAAGGAATTTTATTTTATTTATTTTTTTTCACTGAAAAATTGTTTATTAAGATGTTAATATTTTATATAGTTGATGCAACATATGTATAACTTAAAATTCTGAGTTGCCCTTGAGTAGTAATCCAGGTATCTATAACACTCACATATATGTAAATTGCATATTTCCTGATATTCAACATAGATTTCTCTAACTTCCATTTATCAGACAAGTAAAACATTAATCTTTCAAAGCTACACCTTTACGAGTTCACAATTCCAATTTCTCTGAATTTTTTTTTATCATATTTAAACCTTCTTAAAAGAGGAAACAGAAAGCCCCAAACCAGACACCTGAATCTGCCTTTCACAATATATATCAAATCATCATGCTGTACACTTTAAACATCTTACAACTTTATCAGTTACACCTCAGTAAAGCTGAGGAAAAAACTGAAATTGCACACAAAACAGCCTTAATCTGAACCAATATTGAGAAACAGAGCAATGAAAATGATCTTTTATCACACAGAAAAAATACAGAATATATTTAGTAATTTATTTTCACCTAAAGACAGTATACTTTGTATTTAGAGAAATTAAAGATTAGTTGTCAGGTGTTGCTTTTGGAGAACGATCAACAAGTGCCTTATCGATGGTCGGATACTGAAACCAGGGGCCATCGCCTCTTGCTCTCATTAATCTTCGTACTTCCAGCTCCTTTAATCGTAATTCAGCCTTTTCAGCTTCCATTTGAAGGATAGCCATTGTTCTTTCATAATTCTTTTCAGGAGCATCAAAGAAATTTCGGGCAATCCATCTTGATATAGGATGCTTGAAATATTCCCAGTGTTCTGGGACGTAGCCTTCTGGAATTTCTGCTAACTCAGCTTCACCAATGAATACATTTATCAAAGTTATGCCAATTGCTACTGGAATCCCAGTCAACAAAATGTAGAATCTCAGTAATTTCAAAAAACGTCTGTCATAGAATCCGGAAGGCTTGATGATAAACAGTCTTTTCCCATGGTCTCCACTGTGTCGCACAGGAGCGACAGTCTTCGGGAGGTCACGGGTGAGGAAGCCTCCGAATCCAAGTCGAGTGCCAAGACGGCGGCCGGACAGAGCGGCCACTGCAGAAACCGAAGCCCGATGCAAAAGACTCATGGCCGCCATGGCTACTACGGGCAAGAGTATTAAGGAATTTTGAAAGCTTGGGGAGCAGGTGGATGATTCTGTCATGGGACTCTGAAATTCCCTAAGATAGTGGCAGGAATTAGGGCAGAATGGAAGACTATAGTGATTATTTTTCTTGGTCGTTGGTTAGTCACTAGGTTGTGTCCAACTCTTTTGCAACCCCGTGGACTGTAGCCCACTAGTCTCCTACATTCATGGGATTTCCTGGGGAAGAATACTAGACTGGGTTATCATTTCCTTCACCAGGGGATCTTCCCCATCCAGGGATGGAACCCCTGCCTCTTGCATTGGCAGGTATATTCTTTATCACTAAGCCACCAGGGAAGCCTGGTGACTAGTGACTATAGTCAGGGGTTAAATACCACACTAATTGTCAACAAGAATGGGAAGACCAGTGAAACCAGACTTTGTGACCTTCAATCTTGCTTTTTCCTTCTTTCAAAAGTGTCACAAGAAAATATGAGCAAGGTAAAAGAAATAGTTAAAATCTACAAATTCCACTTACCCAGTAACAATTCTGAAAATAAATTTAGGCATTAAGTAGTCCCCTAATGCTGCACACTTGCTTCTGATATTTCACCCTTATACACAGTAAATGGTCTTAGAACTAAATTTTGAGCACATCCTTATTTCTTTAGGATCAATTCTTAGACATGCAGTTTTAAATATTTGGCCAAACTGTATTCTGATAAAATGTCAAAAGTGTGATTTCAAAATGTTCAAAAAATTCTCACACACAGCAAAAATGCAGAGTAAACATAGGTCAAGTTTTTATTTAAAAAAAATAATTTTATTTACTTTTTTATTCTTGGCTGTGCTGGGTCTCCTCTGCTACGTGGGCTGCTCTCTAGCCGCAGGGCAGGGCCTTCTCACCTCGGCGGCTTCTTCTGTCACGGAGCACACGCCCCAGGCACTCAGGGCCAGTAGCCGTGGCTCCCAGGCCTAGTATATCTCACAGCATGCGGGATCCTCCCCGACCAGGGATAGAACCTGTGTCTCCTGCCTTGGCAGGTGGACTCTTCAGCACTGAGCCACCAGGGCAGCCCTAGGTCACGTTTTTCTTTTAGTTTATTATTGAAGAAGTCAGCAGGAAACAAAGCTGGCTCAAAGAAAGATATGGGAAGTAATGTTTTATATATATCAGTGTAAGAAAAAAAGAATATTGAAACCATTCTAAATTACTGCTAGATATAAATCTGATTAATGTCCTGCAGAGCAATAAACTATAACCTTTGGTGCTATGTTCTCTACAGAGTAGAAATCATTTTCATCTATAAAGGACAAAAATTATTTGTATCTCTCTTAGACAAAAAAATTAGCTTTGGGACTTCCCTGGTGGTCCAGTGGTAAAGAATCCACCTGCTAATCCTGGGGACATGGGTTCAGTCCCTGGTCTGGGAAGATGCCACATATCTTGGGACAACTAAGCCTGTGGACCACAACTACTGAAGCCCTCTCGCCCTAGAGCCCATGTTCCACAACAAAAGAAGCCACTGCAATAGCAGCCCACTCACCAAAACTAGAGAGTAACGCCTGCTCACCACAACTAGAGAGAGCCCATGCACAGCAAGAAGGACCCAGTGCAATGAAAAATAAATAAATTGTGCTTAGGTACCCAGTCGTGTCCAACTCTTTGCAACCCCATGGACTGTAGCCTGCCAGGTTCCTCTGTCCATGGGCATTCTCTAGGCAAGAATACTGGAGTGGGTTGCCATGCCCTCCTTACATTAAAAAAAATTAGCATCTTACCAATTTTCTACAAGTTAACATTTAAATTTCTTTTTTATCAAAGACAAGTTTGGGCCTATATCTATTAAAGAAATTGATCAATAACTAATAACCTTCTAAAAACAGAAAGTACCAGGCCCAAATGGATCACTGCTGAATTCTACCAAATATTTAAGGAAGAATTTTTACTAATTTGCCATAATTTCTTTTAGAGTATAAAAGCAAAGGGAATACTTCATAACTTATTCTATGATGCCAGCACTAAAATTAGACAATTACAAGAAGAGAAAACTACAGATTGTTATCTCTCATGAACATGGATGCAAAATGGAAGTAATGTTTTATATATATCAGTGTAAGAAAAAAAGAATATTGAAACCATTCTAAATTACTGCTAGATATAAATCTGATTAATGTCCTGCAGAGCAATAAACTATAACCTTTGGTGCTATGTTCTCTACAGAGTAGAAATCATTTTCATCTATAAAGGACAAAAATTATTTGTATCTCTCTTAGACAAAAAAATTAGCTTTGGGACTTCCCTGGTGGTCCAGTGGTAAAGAATCCACCTGCTAATCCTGGGGACATGGGTTCAGTCCCTGGTCTGGGAAGATGCCACATATCTTGGGACAACTAAGCCTGTGGACCACAACTACTGAAGCCCTCTCGCCCTAGAGCCCATGTTCCACAACAAAAGAAGCCACTGCAATAGCAGCCCACTCACCAAAACTAGAGAGTAACGCCTGCTCACCACAACTAGAGAGAGCCCATGCACAGCAAGAAGGACCCAGTGCAATGAAAAATAAATACATTGTGCTTAGGTACCCAGTCGTGTCCAACTCTTTGCAACCCCATGGACTGTAGCCTGCCAGGTTCCTCTGTCCATGGGCATTCTCTAGGCAAGAATACTGGAGTGGGTTGCCATGCCCTCCTTACATTAAAAAAAATTAGCATCTTACCAATTTTCTACAAGTTAACATTTAAATTTCTTTTTTATCAAAGACAAGTTTGGGCCTATATCTATTAAAGAAATTGATCAATAACTAATAACCTTCTAAAAACAGAAAGTACCAGGCCCAAATGGATCACTGCTGAATTCTACCAAATATTTAAGGAAGAATTTTTACTAATTTGCCATAATTTCTTTTAGAGTATAAAAGCAAAGGGAATACTTCATAACTTATTCTATGATGCCAGCACTAAAATTAGACAATTACAAGAAGAGAAAACTACAGATTGTTATCTCTCATGAACATGGATGCAAAAGTCCTCAACAAAATATTAGCAGGTTGAATCCAAAAAAAGTATAAAAATATATATCATGACCAAGTTGGATTTATTCCAGGTAAACAAGGCTGGTTCAACATTTGAAAATTGAATAAGGTAACATGTTACGTCAATAGACTAATAAAAGAAATACCACATGATCATATCAATAGATGCAGAAAAAGCATTTGACAAAACCCAAACCTCATTCTTGATTAAAAACTTTCAGCAAACTAGAACTAGAAGAGAGCATTCTTAAATTGATAGAGACTATCTACAAAAAACCTACAGCTAACATCAGAGTTAATGATGAGAGATGTAAAGTTTTTCCTCTAAGATCAGGAACAAAGCAAGGATGTCCCCTCTGGCCACTTTTTAAAAAATATCTTACTGACTGTCCTTGCTAATGAAATCAGCCCCCCCCCCCAAAAGGATATAAAATAAACACAATTGTGAAGGAAGATATAAAACTGTCTTTGTTATACAAGTGACATGATTATCTGTGTAGAAAATCTGAAAGCATTGACAAAACAAACATAAACAAAAACATCTCCTGAAACTAACAAGTGATTGTTACAAGGTTGCAGATAGCAAGGTTAATATATAAAAATCAAATGCTTTCCTACATACTAAGAACAAGTAGGATTTAAAATTTAAAACATAATACCATTATGGCAACCCACTCCAGTATTCTTGCCTGGAGAATTCCATGGATAGAGGAGCCTGGCCGGCTACAGTCCATGGGGTCACAAGAATCGGACATAACTTAGCAACTAAAGCACCACCACTGTTTACACTGGCATCCCCCCAAAAGAAATACTTAGGTATATATCTAACAAAATATGTACAGGATCTATATGATGAAAAATACAAAACTCTGATGAACAAAATCAAAGAACTAAATAAATGGAGAGAGATTCTGTGTCCATGTACAGAAAGACTCAATATTGTCAGGATGTTGGTTTTTCCTAACTTGATCTGTAGATTCAATGCAATATCAATTAAAGTCCCAGCAAGTATTTTGTAGATATCAACACACTGAGGCTAAAGTAAATCTGAAGATGTATAAGGAAGGACCAACACAATTAATTAAAGGAGAATAACAAAGCTGGACTAACACAGACTTACTATAAAGCTACATTAATCAAGACTGAAGTACTGGTGAAAGAGTAAACAAATAGATCACTGTCAGTAACCTCCTATAACTGACTCTTCCCACCCTCAGCATCTTTTGTCTGTAACTGAGGATGGTATTCAAGGTGAGGCTTCAACCATTTGGCAAGTGGCTCAGTTTCTGTGGTCTCTTCCACATACACACATCATTAAACTTTGGTTTGATTTTCTCCTGTTAATCTGTCTCACGTCGATTTAATTTTTAGACCAGCCAGAATAATCTAGGGCTTCCCCTGATGTCTCAGCAGTAAAGAGTTCTCCTGCAATGGGGGAAACACAGGAGATGTGGATTTCATCATTGGGTCAGGAAGATCCCCTGGAGGAGATGGTAACCCACTCCATTATTCTTTCCTGGGAAATCCCACAGACAGAGGAGCCTGATAGGCTACAGCCTATGGGGTTGTAAAGAGTCAGACACGACTGAGCAGCTAAACACAGAATAATAAGATAGAAGGATAGAGGAAAATTTCTTCCTCCCCAACACAACACCAAAGACATGAATCATGAAAAGAATAGTTGATAAGCTTAGCTTCATTAAAATTAACGACTTCTGCTCTGCAACATGACAATATCAAGAGAGCTAAAAGACAAGTCACAGACTGGGAAAAATTATTTGCAAAAGACATATCTGATAAAGGACTGTTATATAAAATATACAAGGAACTTTTAAAACAATGAGAAAATAAACAACCTGATTTTAAAATGCACCAATGATCTTAACAGATGCTTTGCAAGAGAAGGGATGTAGATGGCAAATAAGCATATTAAGAGATGCTCCACATCATAAGTCATCATGGAAATGTAAATTAAAACAATAATGAGATAT